GCCCGGTTCGGGCTCAGGTACGCGCCAGGCAGCTAGTGCCCCTCTGCCTGGGCACCACCCCGGGAGCGCTCCGGGCCTCAGGCGAGCCCAGGCCTCAGCACCAGGAGGTGCTCAGGGCCAGACCGAGGCCCCCGGCGCCCTCGCGGTTCTCTCCGAGGCGGGCGGCCCCAGCACCCCGATCCTCAGACTGGGAACAGGCCGGCCACACCCCTGCCTTTTCCGGGGATAGGGACTGCTGGGCCTCGACGTGTTCCCTGGAGCCTCGGCACCCCAACCTCCTAAGGGAAGACGCCTGCGAGTCCCCTAACAACTCCTCCATGGTCCCCAGATGCCCTTCCACCCCACCCCCACCCCTGTATGCCCCTGGGGACCCGCACCGGGGACACACCAGCCGGTCTTCAGTGCCTGGAGGTAGGCGGTGACACTGAGCCTTTCTCTCGGTTCCGCTCTGGACTTGAACTTGCCCTACCTCTGGCCACTCCAGCCCCATCTGCCCCGGGGCCTCCTGGACTCGAGGCGGGGAAGCTGCCACGCTCCTGCTGCCCCCTCACGGGCAGCCTCCGGTTACGGGGCAGGGGTGTGGTGAGTAGGAGTTGGAGCCCCAGGGATGTGTGGGACAATTCCCCAAACCCTAGCAGCGCCCCCACACTGGGACACCCCCGCCACTTTGGGGACCCACCCTCCACCCAGACTTGTCCCCTCCTTGCCGACACTCTGCTTCCTTCTCGGTCCTCTCATCTGACCCCCAACTCCAGGACCTGTCCCCAATGCTTGAGAATGTCCTGCATGCGAATCCAAGATAGGAAGGTGTTGCTCCTTCAGCATCTCAGCCGCCCCCCCGACTCCGACCAGCCAGGCCAGACCACCCCTTCAGCCCTGAACCGTACCCACACCACGGCCCACTCAGCCCCCACTGCAGGAGACCCAAAACTTACCAGTGTCTGGCAGGGATGCCCACTTTTTATCAAAAAAGGAAGTTAAAATACAAGAATTGTGTCACAGGTCATTTTAATACATTTTAATAAAAAATGTGGGAAGGCCACTATCAGACTAGACGGGAATCTCTAAATAGAGCACATGCAGGAAGCTTGGAGCTGACCTGTCCTTCCTGTCGCTGCCGCGGCGACTGCATCCTCCGGCCCAGCCCGCCCCGACCCGGGCCACCCCACCAGGCCTTGGCACAGGCCCCTTTTGGGCCAACTGGTTCCCGCTTGTCCAGCCCTTCTGCCCAGGGCCTCTGCTGGGGACAGATCTTCTCCTTCTGACTCATCTGCCCCTTCCTTCCCCTCACTGTCCCCTTCCATAGTGGGGACGGGGGCTCAGCCAGGCCAGAACTGACCCGATCTTGGGAGGGAGCGAGTAGGCCTCTGGGGGCGACTCCACGCCCAGCCCCTGGGCAGTGCAGGGGGTCAGCTGTGAGGCAGACAGAACCCTCCCTCCTGCCCCAGGCACTCCAGGGGATGGGCCTCCTCGGGCCTCTACACTTCCGCCTGAGATTCTGCCCTGGGCACAGTGCCCACCCTGCCAGGTGTCCCTCCCCCAGCCTCTGCCGCCAATGGTCCCTGGGGGAGAACGCTGGGACCAGGGGCATCTAGTTGTGCCTTTCGGGACTGCTGGTGGCCAAGGGCCCTGGCAGATTCGTGGAGGCCACCTTACAGCCCCCCAGGCAGCCTGTAGTCCCCAGCCTACCCTCGTGCACAGCTGCCCTTGAGAAGCCAAGTCAGGTGACCATGCAGCATGGCAAGTACAAGCTAAGTGATGTTTGGGGCGCACCCCTCACGGTGGGCTCATATTAGTGAGAGGGCCTGGCACTGTCTCAGCCAGTGGAGTTAGGGTTAGGGGTTGGGGTCAGGGGTTAGGAGTAGGGGTGGAGGGCCCTGAGGGCAGCCGATGGCAGGGCCTCCACCACCCCCTCAGCCCCTTCTCGTGGAGGTGAGAGAACCAGCCAGGTACAAGGAAGGTGCTGGTGTCTTTGTGGGCCCCCTTGGAGACCATGCCCTCGGTGGGGAGGCCACGCCCTCGGTGGGGAGACCACCCCTCCAGACCACACAGCCAGGGGCAGGCTGCCCAGACTGGCATTTGGGGCCCATGTGGCACCTGTCTCACTCCAGTGCCTCCAGCTTGTTCCTTATGCAAAAAGATTTACTGCCTCAGTCTGCCTTTGTCGTTTTAATTGGTCGTGTCCTTGGACCCTACACCACCCTGGGCTCAGCTGTCTGTAGAATGGGGACAGTGACAGGCTGTCCTAGGCAGCAGTCAGGGCCAGACAAGTTGCTACCAGCAGCTGAGACCAGCGCTTGCTGCTGTGCAGGGGATGACTGGAGGCCTTGGTGACCGCCCATCCGGGGCATGGCCTGAGTGGGGACTTCGAAAGAGAAGAGACAGCTTCCACCTGTGCCCGCTCACTCTGCCAGGACCCCACGCAGGGAGGTTGGACATGTACACGATACACATGCCACCTGATGAGGGGTCTGAAGGTTGGTGGCTGGGAGACCTCCCCGCAGGCCCACAGCTCTGGGCCCAAGCCTCACGCCCACCCCTCCCCTGGCTGACACTGTCACCCTTGCATTGCTGGGGAGCATAACGCTGCTAAGAGCTGGGGGGCTGCTAGGGCGAGAGTCCAAACTGCTCGGGTGCACGTGGAGCAGATGGAACCAAGGGCATTAGGTCGAGCGCCTGTCAGCTGAGAAGCAGCATGGGCCGGGCAAGTGGAGGTGGTACCCGCTGGGCTGCTCCAGGCATGGGACCCTGGACAATGCCCTGGTCCGGCCAGTCTGGGCCCTGCACTGTCCTCTAGGAGCCCTACAGAAGAGCCACAGGGCACAGCTCCTCTCCCCCTCCAGGCGATGACTGTGGGTGAGGGGTGAGGCACCCCCAGCCCCCACAGACAGGGGGTGGGCTGTGTGAGGACAGAGGTCTGCTTGTCAGCTTCCTTCTCCCGTCCTGGGCTGGGCAGCCTGGTGGGGCTAAAGGACACATCAAATGCAACATCTGGGTCCCTGCAGGGCTCTGGCAGATGGGGGCCTGTTGGAAGGGGTGGCCCCGGGCCCAGATCAGCAAGGGCTCACAGCCAGCCTGGCCCAGCCTGCAACCCCTCAGAGGGGGGTGGGAGTCAGGCTCTGGCACACACGTGATCCACCAACAGTCAGCTCCAGGCTGTAGTTCCAAATGCCACCTTTACAGCCGGGAGGATCGTGGCGCTGGGGGCTGGAACAGCAAGGGGTATGGGTGGCAGAGCTCACGCTCGGTTGGGGCTGCCCTCACTGGGGAGAAGGAAGCTCGGCCAGACCCAGGCGCCTCGAACGTGCCCGTGGGCCCTGTCCTAGGGAGGGCAGAGGACAGCCTGCAGGTCCTTGGGCAGGGAGCCGATGGCCGTCTCAATGTGCAGCTGCGCCCGCTGCAGCGTCTCCTCCTTCACAGGGAGCTGGTGGCTCTGTGCCCTCACCTGTAGGGGCAGCAGTGGTCAGGGGCAGGGGACCTCCCTGTCTGGCGGGCCCCAGCTGGGCAGGGCTGGGAGCTGTCTCACCAGCTTCTCCCGAAGTTTCAGGACCAGATCCACCACCTCCACCTCGGACTTGTCCTTCATCCAGGTCTCGATGTCCTGCCATGAGGAGACGGGGCCACCTGTCACCAAGACCCTCGCCCGGCACTGGCCCTGAGCCCACGTGCTCACTGCCTCAGCCCCAGGCCCCTTACCGCCTCGCAGATGGCCTCAAGGTGCAGGGCCTCTAGTTTGTGGGCCATCTCTCTGCGCCGCTGTCGGTACCAGCCGTCAAAATGGGGAGACTTGAAGAACCGCCTATGGGGGATGGGAGGTGATGGCTGTGGGGCTGGCCCCGTGTGCCAAGGCGGAGGGCACGGGCACCCTTTACCCCAGCAGCAGGAGCCTCAGGACTCCTGCCCACCATTCACCCACCTGTAGAGGCCCAGCCAGTCACCCTTGAGGACGCAGGTGAGCTGCGGCCCCGTGCACTCCAGGCTGCGCAGGAAGTCATCTTGGTGGAAGGGGCGAATCTGGGGCGGGGTCTGAGATAGGAGCCCCATGAGCCCCTCAGGCCCTGCCCCTTGGCCGCCCAAGACCCACCTGCAGGACGCTCCCAGACACCTGGGCTCCCACCCTGCCTGGGACACACCCCAGGGAGGGGGCCTCGAGCTCCTCCGTGGGGCCCCCATTTCTTGGGCCCTGGGGTCTCCTCCACACCCGTGAGCTCCCTTCTTCTGGAATCAGGATAGGCGCCCCGCCCCAGGCCACCTCCGAGCCCTGGACCTCACCTTCCAGGGCGCGACACTCTTCTGCAGGGGCATGAGGCCGGCCATGTAGTGCTCCTGCGGGGGGAGGGGATGAGCTGGGGCCACAGCCCCCTGCACTCCCCAGCCCCCCACCCCAGGACCTCACCAGGGGGATGACGAAGCTCTGCGTGAGCTCCAGGAGGTGCCCCCGCAGCAGCGTGGTCAGCGTGTCTGCGGGCCGCCCCCTCCGCAGGCCCCTGAGCAGCCGAGTGAGCAGCGCCTTGTCGCGGTGCAGGTGGGCGGTATACGTGGTGTACAGGCCTGGCGGGAGGGCAGAGCTGGGTCCTGCCCTGGGCACCTCCCTCCCACAGCCACCCGCACCCCACCTGGGTCCTGGAAGGACAGGTGGGGTCCTGGCCTGAGGGGCACACACCTGGTTTGGTGTCCAGGGTCTTCAGCCTTGAGGGCTTTTTCAGCTTGACTTGTTTAGGAAGGCCCCCTGCCGAACACCCACGGCCTGGAGTCCGAGCCGCAGGCTCAGACCCAAGGCCCCCGAGCGTGGCCTCTGAGCGCCCCGGCCCGTCTCCCCAGGATCCCTGGGCAGAGGCCGGGCCAGCCTCACCTGACATCTTGGGCTCCCCGATGCGCAGGATGTGGGGCCAGTGCTGGAGTGTTTTGATAAGAAAAGGGTTGGTGACCCCCAGGACCACGTTTGGTCTGGAGAGAGAGGAGAGAGAGAGGGAGCAGAGGCAGCGGCGGCCCGGGACAGGCGCGGCCGGAGGCGGGCGGGCGCTTACGGGGCCTGTGTGCGCGTCGCGAACTCCTTGAACTCGCTGTCGTGGATGGTGAAGTAAGGGCGATAGTCGCAGCAGAACTTGAGGGGCTGCAGGCAGCTGTGGGGTGGGCACAGCAGGCGGTGAGCACGCAGGGCCATCCTGCCCCAATGCTCCTCCCCCACGCTGCCTGGCCTACCGGGTCAAGGCCAGCACCATCTCCGAGGACACAGCGGGCGAGGGCGCCAGGACCAGCAGGGGCTCCCCAAGGAGCATGAGCTCCCACAGCGTCTGCACGTGGGCCAGCACCGGCTGGAAGCACCTGGTACGGGTGGGAGGGGGCCGGGGCTGGCTGGGGCCAGCTGCTTCAGCCCCCACCTCCCAGGTGGGCCCAGGTCCCGCCCCCAGCAGGAAGGCAGCTTGAAGATGTCCAGGGTCGCCCACCTCCACGGTCCACCCACATTGGCCTGGCACCCCATCCCCTGCAGGGCCGGCCAGGGCAATACTGTTCCAAAGCCCTGCTCCCTTGTAGACTTACCCAGAGATGGGCAGCCTCAGGCAGGAGTGTGTCCCCAACACAGCCTCCCTCCCCCCACACTGCCTTCCAGAACCGTCCTGCCCACAGTTCCCATCTCCTCTGGGTGCAGACACCAGGCACAGGGTGTCTTGTTCGTACAATTCCTCTTCACGGAACTGGCCGGGGCTTAGCTCCCGGCGGGCAGTCCCCGGGGTGGGCCAGCCCTGCCCGGCCTGCGCCTGTGGGCTCGCTCAGGGTCTATGCAGGCAGCGGGCAGTGGTTATGGCACTCACCTGAACAGGTCCAGCTCATGGACACTGCTAAGGACCAGCGGGGCCGGCAGTAGGTTCTGAGGGGAGGGGTGGGTGGCATCAGGCTGAGGGCAAGGCCGCCACCCTGCAAGCCCCAAGCAGCACCTCCCGCCCCGGGAGGGCCCTGCGGACGGCAGCCCTCGCCTGCCCACCCCAGCCCCACAGCACAGGAGACGGTGGGGGACATCCAGCCCTGCATGGAGACACAGGACTCTCCCTGGCTTGGCCTGGGCTCTGGCCACCCCACGCGACCCCCAGCGTGTGGGGTGGGGAGGCCCAGGAGGCCCACCTCATGGCCACGCTGCTTCAGAGACGTAGATTCGGGCTTGTCCGCCCTGGACGGGATGTGGACCTGGGGGCGAAGGGAGTGGCTGCCAGCTGGGAGTGGGCGCCTCACGCACCTAGGGCCCTCCGGCCCCGGCCGCCCATGCTCACCTGGAGGACAACGCCCACCACGGGCAGGTTTAGGGTCCGCCCGGGCACAGGGGCTGGCCACTGGTCAATCTCACTGCACACTGTGGACAGAGGTGGCAGGCATCAGCAGCCTGTGCCGAGCAAAGGCTGCTGGCCGAAGCCACTGGGTACAGTGGCCGGTCAACGAGACCTTCTGGCCTGGCCCGATGGCCGCTCACCTGCTTCCAGGCAGGGAGCCAGCTTGTCGAAGTACTCGGGGGCAATCAGGCTCAGCAGTGCCTGGAACAGCCGGACAAAGGGCAGGCGGGACACCAGCACCAGAGACTGCAGGGCCCACAGGGCCAGTAAGATGTCACTTCAGCCACTCAGGAGCCTGCAGGGACCCCTGAGGCCTGGCTCACCCGGGGCCATGTGTCCCAGCAACTCCACAGGACAAGTCTCCCCAGGAATGGCCTCGGACCCCAGGGTTATCAGATAAGAAAACTCCAAGCCTGCCACACAGTGTGGAGAATCCCAGTGACTTCAGGGACGGGCTGGGACCCGGGCCTTCGGAGGGAAATGCATGTGGCCAAGATTTCTGGGATGATCTCCCAGGGGTCAAGCAGTTCGAGACTGAAGCCGCTCTAATCCTGAAAGTGTGACGAGGCCCCCTCGGGCCAGCAGCGAGGAGCAGACAGTGAGGCTGCGGGTGCTGCGCCAGGGGAGGGAGGGTCAGCGGGCCCAGGTCCTGGAGAGCTGGGTGCCCCCGCCCCTGCCCGCTGCCTGGCGGGCCAGGGCAGTGTGCTCCACCCAGCGCCAGCGGCTGCAGGCTGCAGGAGTGGGCACTTCCGGAGGCTCAGGACCCCTAGCCCACCTGTCCTTCCAGATGGCCGCCAGCCCCCGCCCTCGGCAGTGCCACCCAGAGCAGCCAGGAGGCTCACCTTCTGGAAGTAGCCCCTCTTCACGGAGCTGTCCTTCACCTGCCTGAAGTACACGTAGCCGAGGTAGTGTGCCGCTTCCCTCTGGAAGGGGCCATCAGCCAGGCCACGCCCCTGCCCGCCCAGGCCACCCGCAGAGGCTGCTCCATGCTCTCCCCAGCCTTGGGGGCCAGGCCTGGGGCCTGGAGGTGGGAGGTGGGCTGCACCTCCAGGGGGCGCATCGCAGACACAGAGGTGAGCGCCCAAGGCTTGGGAGCCCCTGAAGGCTCACCCAGGCATGCCTGCTACAAGCACAGTGCTGGGAAGAGCTCCAGGGGCCTCCGGGCGTCTCCAGGAGGACTGGCCCATCCCCATGCAGGCACCATGGGCCTTGCAGCAGGTGGCGACGCCTCCTGTCACGGCTGCACCAGCCCAGCACTGGCCTGCGGGGAGAGGCAGCCCACGCTCACCTGCAGTGACACGGGGGCCCCGCTGTCATAGTGCCTGTCATCGGCAGGCCAGGGGCTCCTCTGTCCTCCACACTGACGAATGCGGAAGCTGAACTGCGTGTCCCCGAGGCAGCCTGGGAAGGGGGGCAGCCCCGCCACGCCACATCAGGGCTGGGGCCCTGAGGGGAAGCCCCACCCGCGGGGTCTGGGTCTCCCAGAGGAGGCCCTGGGTCCCAGCTGCTGCACCTGAGGGTTCCCGAGCGGTCCACACATTCAGAAGCACTAGCGACAGTGCAAGCACAGGGGGCGGTCGGGAGACTGGGGTGGGCGGGCTCAGCCGGCCCGGACACCTGGGCCCTGGGAGCGGTCACTGTGCGGTAAAGACCAGACCTCGCTGGTCCCTCTGCCCAGAGACTCCTCTCGCCACATGAATGAGGGGTGACCTGGCCACCAATGCTACGTCGTGGGCTCGGGGTGTCTCCACGGCCGGGGAGTGGGGCTGGCGCTTACAGACTACGACGCCTCCGGCTGGGCCACCGGGCTCCCGGATGGCCTCACCCTCACCCCCACTTTCCTCTGTCACCACCCGGCCCAAGCGGGGAGATTGGGGTCACCTACCTGAGTGGGAGTCAGGGAAGGACAGGTAGCAGATGCTGCTTTTCTGAAACACACGAAACCCAGTGAGGACCGGCTCGCTCCTGGGCGACATCTGCTCCCCAGAGGGCTGGGACCCACCTCCTTGTCCGTGAGCCGGAAGTCGCTGGGGTACACCAGCTGCAGGGGACACAGAGCACTCGGTGAGGGCGGGGCGGGAACAGTGCTGGGCTGCAGGCGTCCCTTTGGCCCCCTGGAGCACACCTCCATTGGCTCAGACCCTCCTGCCCCCTCCCCGGGAGCTCCCGCGGACTCTCCTTTCCTCCCCCGGGGCCCCCAACGCCCAGGCTTCTCAGCACAAGGCCACGCCGGCCTTCCCTTGCCTGGGTGAGCTCCCTGAGACCCTCTCTGCACCCCGGCCCTTGAGGCCACTTGCCCAGACTGTGGTTGGGCCTCCCTGCCTCCACCATCCTGACATTCGTCCCCATAGCTTAAGGAGGTGGTGGCCTCCTCTCGCCTGGAGTGGTCACAGGGCCCTGCCTGCTGGTCCCACCCCACCCAGCCAGGGGTCTTAGGCTGTGCCCCTCTGCTGCTCTCCCAGACGGGCTGGCCGGCCTCATCTCGTCTCCGCTGACAGGGCTCCTGGCAAGGTCGCATCCGAGCCTCTCCACGGCACCCCAGCAACCTGGGCGTCTTCACCCCCATCCCCTAGTCAGGGGTCTGGGAGCTTCTGGCCTGTGCCCTACCTGGAGTGTGAGCCCCAGGAGAGTGCCCTGGGCCCCGTGTCCAGTGAGTGTGACCAGCTAGACAAGCCACACCCCCCAGGAGTGGACAGTGAGTGACAGCACAGACGCTAAGCGACGGGCTCTGGGTGATCTGGGCAACAGGTGGTGCTAGAGGAGGCAGTAGCCAGACCCATGCCCAGGCGCGTGGCCACGATGGGCTTCCTCGGGGGACACCACAGGCAGGGAGTCCCTGCTCCCGCCAGGCCCCGAGGCGTCTCCTGAGGAGCTGCCGTGCCCTGGCCCACGGCAGCCCCAGCTATGCCCGGGGCCTGGGCTAGCTCTCCCAGGAGGCGGCCGTGCTGAGCCCGCAGTGCGCGAGGAGCTGAGGCCTCCACGCAGGAGCCCCTCCGCGCTCCGCCTGCCCACCTCCGGCGCCAAGGACGAGCTGGGTTTCGGCTTCTGGGGTGTGCCCCAAGCCCCTGGAGGGCACGAGGGGCTGTGCCCTGGGACTCATACTGTGTTCCTGGTCTATCTCTTGTGCTGCATGTCAGGTGTCAGGCAGACACCCCCAGATATGTATTTGTACAGGGTGACGGCACATCTGTGAGGTGTGATAGAACAAGGGGTCACATGGAAACCTCCAGATGTCAGCTCAGGAGACACCGAGAGGGGCCAGGAGGGAGGGCAGCCAAGGGCATCTGTCTGTGGGCTGGACCCACAGAGGCAGGGGATAGCTCCAAGAGTGGCAGGGGCCACAGGACCACTTAGGACATGCCCTCGTGTCTGTGCTGAGCAGGGCCAAGGAGAGGAAGGTTTCTGGCGGCCGGGGCAGAGCCACAGTGGACCCTCTGTGCTGAGCTCAGCCATCTGAACCCGGTCTGACAGCCACAGGAGTCTCGCAGCATCTGAGCGGGCCACCTTGGCCTGCGAGCTCCACGTCCAATCCCAAGGACCCCATCAGAACACCTGGTGGGGACCATGTTCAGGGGCTAGAGCGTCCTCTCCTGGGAGCAGAGGCTGGAGGCTGGGCCGACTGAGCCGGGCCATGCTTCGATGCAGGGAGGAATGCAGTGGACCCTCAGGGAGGCAGAGAGCGCAGGGCTGTGCTGCACAATGACCCTGGCCTCTTGTCATGAGCCGGCCTGCACAAGCTGTGGCTCCTGTAACCCGGTCGTCCCTGGGGGAAGACACAGGGACAGAGGCAGCAAACTGCTGAGATGGCGCCTCTAGGACAGCGCTTCTTAAGCTGAAGTCTGGGTGCCCTCTAGGACAGCGCTGAAGTCTGCATCTCCTCGCTCGTGTGCACTGCAGTTGCCCGAGGCTACAACACCGACTGTCGCGGGATGCTGACCGCAGAAGTTGACATAAGAATCCAGCCGCTTTTCTATCTGGCCAGATGTTAAAAAGGTTTGTAAAAGTGTCAAATGATGTCTCTCTTCTTACCAAATTTAATTTTGGAAAATATGGTTGTTCTCAAGAAAATATTAAAATTTATGCTAATACATACGGTATTGTTTCTTACAATGGGTTGATAAATATTTTTGAAATTTCTTAGTTTTAGTTTCTAGTGAACATTGAGAGCCACGAAAGAGCTCTTTGAGGTCCCGGCAATTTCTGAGATGTAAGGTTAGGTTCCTGAGGCAGAGCAGAGTGGGAGCTGCAGGGAGGGGTTCTCTGGGACCTCGGCTGCAGCTCACTCCCCGGCTCGCTGCGCTGCGGTGTGAGAGGTGGGGTTCTGCGAGCGGAGCTGGTGGCCTCAGGCCTTTTCTCAGCTGGTCTGCAGAGGCCTGTCCCGGCCACGCGCTGCCCGCAGGCTTTGGTGCGCCCACGAGTGTGGGACCCCCACACACTGGTGTGCGATGGGGTCCTGACGCACCTCTCTGTGTCTCAGGCACCGAGTATGAGCCCTGGAGAGCTGGTCTTCTTGTTTAACTCCGTGTCCTCGTGTCCAGCACCGGTACTGCAGGGCCTGGCTGGTGGCAGCTGTTCAATACTTGATTTACTGAGCGCGTAACGACAGCACCTTGCCTTTGCGTTCGCTGGTTTTTCGTGGTGAGGGGTCACCTGAAATAGCCCCTGCTCCCTGTCCAGCTATGGCCTTCCCATCCTCCGAGATTGGCCAAGCCCCGTTCCTTCCTCTGAGCTGCTTCCATTCATGGAGCTCCTGGAAGTGGCCCCTCGCTCTTCGGCCCGTGTCCCGGCACCAGCAGTGCCTGGGCCTTTCAGCGCTCGGCCCGGCTGCGGTGGGACTAAGTGAGGACGGGGCAGGTGCTCTGTGAAAGCCTGTGGGTCCAGCTGGGGTGACCACTGATCTTCCCCACGATTTCCAGGGGAGGGAGAAAAGACAAGAGGCAAACCTGATGAGGGCTCTGTGGTTGAGCTCTGGATGGACCTGCAGCCCAGTTTCTGCACAGACTTGATGACCCGGGGGGGCCCTGGGTCTCCGACCCAATCCCCAAGCTGTGCGTCCTCAACAATGACTCAGAAGCCCAAAGCACATGGATCCTTCCACACTACTTGTGTAAAATTAGCTTTCTGAACAGTTAAGTTCTAGAAAATCACACATGAGAATACTTTAAGGAAACAGAAGAATCTTTTATCTTCTCTTGTGATTTTATGGGCGACAGTAAGAATGTGGGCTCTGTGATATTAGGCAAATCACCTCACCTCTCTGTGCTCGGGCCTCTCCATCGAGTGGGGCTGTCACCATAACGCACACCTGGTGGGGATGAGTATGGTGGAATGGGAATGCCACAGAACCGGGCACAGTGCCAAGACCCAAGAGTCCTCACTAAGTGTCAGCCCTTTCTGTCTTGGGCTTCCCACGGCCTCTTAGAGCTCAGCAAGGCCTCAAAATGTCCCTCATCCAGACACTGAAGCGGCTTCTACAGTGGCTGTGCAGCCTCATCTGGCCAATGGCAGTCACAGGGTACACCGGCTCCCTGGCTCTCACAAGGTCCCTCTGTCAATATGGTTAAGGACCTCCAGCCTCTCCTGCACTGTCAGCTCCCTGGTCTGTGTCACGGCCTTCAGGGCATAGAGGCCACCCTGACAGGCCTGCGGAAACATCCCTCCAGAGTCACCTACACCCAAGGAAGAGAAGCTGCCCGTGTGGGTGGGGGCAGGGAGGAGCCTTGCAGGCAGTGGGAACACCCCAGGTCCAGGGAGCGAGGTGCGGCTGGCGTAGAGGAAGATGACCGGATGGCTGGAAGGTGACCCACAGGGCTCTGGATCCGATTCTAAGTGCATAAAGAGGTGTTGAGAGATTTCTGAACGGGAAGCAGGAGAGCCGCAAAGTTGGGCTTTAGGAGACAGGAGTGGCACAGCAGCAGAGCGTGTGGGTTTGAGATCCTTGTTGCCAGTGGAACTTCAGCCTTGTCCAAGGATGGCATGGAGAGTTGATGAAGAGAAGGAGTCAAGGGCGACCCCCTAGGATTCTGGCTGGAGCAACGGAGGGGAGAAGGTGCCACAGCTAGTGTGGGAAAAGCGGGGAGACTAGACAGGTTTTTACCGAGGAAGATCGAGAGCATCTCTTTGGTTGTGCAAAGTGCAGGGCTCCCATCTCCTCCAGAGCATAGAGGCCACCCTGACAGGCCTTTTCTTTCCTTTGCTGCAGAGAGCACCTTTCAGGAGGTGACAGGCGTAGGGTTTCGTAGGAGAGACGGGCCACCTGGGGTGTCTGCCCGAATGTACCTCATGTGCAGGGAGCTCGCAACCGCCCCCCGCGCGCCTGCCCAGCGCTCCCCACCCGACAACTCCTCATTCCGACCACCGCGCCCCGCCGGGCTCACCTCCAGTGCCTGGCCCAGCTCCAGGTCGAAGGTGACCACGCATACGCACTCCAGCCAGGCCGAGAAGCGCGCCCAGGGCACCGCTGGAGCCCGTGCCCCGGCGGACTGCGCGCCGAGGCGGCCGC